TGTTCCAGGTAATGAATTAACTTCTCTCACAAATCTCTTCCTTCAATATTCCCTTGCAATTTTTTTTTTTTTTTTCAGAAAAGTGTGGCCAGGAAGAAGAGGTCCTTCTTCCTACTCTTAGCCTGGAAGCTCCTAAAACCTGTCCACCTGACCCTGCTGCTATTTGAAATACCAGTGGCATAGCTTTCCGCATCACAGCAACATGGAGCCGCCACAGTCTGACATCCAACAGATCGGTGGTGTGGTTCCCTGACCAGGAAATGAACCCGGGTCATGGTGGTGAGAGCACTGAATCTTAACCACTAGACCACCAGGGCGGTTCTATAGCCCCTAGCCTTTCTCAAATAAGAAACCTATGAGTGGTCAGACCCCCTTATTCCCCCGGCCTCCCTACGGGCAATCAATCTCCAATTCATATTGACTCTACCCCTTAAAATCACCATTGAATCTATATCCTCTTTTCTATCTCCTCAGAATCTCTCACCTGGACTATTTCCAAAGCCTCCAAATTACTCTCATCCATCGCCAGTTCACCTCCCATACGTGTTCCAAGAGTGATCTTTCTAAAAAGAAAATCTAACCGTGCATCTCTCTTACTTAAAACCTTCACCAATGAGAAAAAGTCTGAAGTCCACGGTATGATATTCAAGAATCTTGATGATGCAGTGCCTCTGAACCTTCTTAGTCTCACTTCTCATCAGTGCCCACACTTCACACTGTACGTCCTAATAAGGAATGAATACGGGACTAACAACTAAACTGATCTTAATTCTCCAAACATATCCTGCAGTTGTGCAATGCCTGGAATGAACCCCACCCAACATCACCATCCACCAGGCAAACCTATCTATCCTTTAAAAGCCTCAAACATTTCATCCTGTAGGAAGGCTTCTCTCACCCCAACTCCTCCCCAAAATCCATCTCTGCAAGTACCTTACCCGGAAACACACACACACACACACACACCACCCCCCCCACACACACACCCCTTTATTAACTCGTCTATGTCTTTCCTCCCACAGGTCTCTCAGTTCCTCGAGGGCAGAGCTTTGTATTATCCACCTCTACATCCTCTGTGCCCACCATAGCACCATGTGCATGGCTTACAGCAGGTGTTCAACAAGATTTATTAAACTGAGTTTAAACACACTTTGGCAATATGTGAAATCGTAAGCAAGAACTGGAATCGTAAAACTTCATGTTTTAATTAAAAGGCTCATTTCAATTATAAAGTAACAAACATTCAAGTTCCCTCACGAAGAGCGTCGGGAACTGCATTAGAAAGCTACCGTGGGCCCCCAGGAAGACTTTCTGTAGAGAGCTGCTTCTTTCTCCTTTAGTTTGCACACGGTCAGTGCTGGCCTCACCAGCCTCTCCCTCAACTCTCCAGCTTCAGGCCTCACTGCTAACATGCAATTTAGCTCTATATTATCTAATTCAAATTTCTGAGAGGGTTGTTTTGGTTTTGGCACGAGGCCACCATGTCCTTCGTCTCTCTGGTAAAGCTATGGATCAGCTGCCCTTTGGTGAGGTGCCATATCAGAGGTTCCGGGACCAGCCACTCACATTCCCCCAACTCTCAACTCAATACACACTGTTCATCTCCTTAGAACCATTACTAAAGGATGTCGCTAAAATCATTTTGCAACACTTTTAAAACCAAGTCTTGCCAAGACTTGTTCACAGTGAGGAAAACCCTTCTTACTTCTTCACTGAACCAGCTATACATTCCAAATGTGCAAGGAGTTAATCTTCTATATGCAGACATGCACAGAAAGAACCCTCTGGATTGTTATAACGGCTCAACAGTGGTTTCAAAAGCATTTTTACAAGCTTTTGGCAAAATTTCTCATACATTTATAATGTTAAGAAATGAGCAGTCCAGACATTTCCTTGTTAAATTCTATCCCATAATATCAAGTAACTTTATATAAGGATAAGCACATACAATGGCAATCTATCACTAACCAACAAAACCTGTTTCTCTTCCTCCACACCAACACTACTGGGTAATGATTGAAGGAGGCAGGCCACTCACTGACAAGGAAAGAGGGGCACAGCCTGTGAGACAGGCACTCTTAGGTGGTCTCCAACAAAATCAGACTCTCAGTGCTATTAATCTCCTGCTTAAAAACAAGAAAAAAATCTAATTAAAGGTCCATTATATCTACGGAGAGATCACATTTGCACTAAGAACAAATTTAACAGAATGAGAACATTATAAAGATCTTTGAAAGGAGAGGGCAATTTATTCACTTCATTTTATTATTTCAATTATTCAAAATTCTGGCTATTCTCAGATTCAATATTCGCTGGAAACAAATATTGTAAGAAGGGGATAAAGGCAAAAGCTCTCAGATAACAGCCATTCAGAAGCTCTGAGGGAAAAGAAACTTTTTCAAATGCAGACTGTCCTCACATTTCTTAATATAAAGGAGGGATTTTCTATTTTAAAATCAAGTAGGTGTTCCAGTTAGCCAACCTGTTTACCATCTATCCTCACTGGTGACTCATTTAGTTTCATCTGTAGTAATGAGCAGCTGACTATGAAATATCATAACCATCAGTTTAGACTATTGCTAATAAACATATAATCTTAACAGATCTAATTTCAGAGGACAGAAATTGGTACAATTTAGAAAGTGCTGATGTTGTCTTTAAACGAGGCTTGAAATCAAGGCACTATTAGAAAGCTTTCATTGCCTAAAACGCACTAAACGGCAAGGGATTGATCCTTTCATTCCTTAGCAAAAATTCATAGGTTTAAAAAAAACCAAAATGTTAACTTGAATGTCTTGGAGAAATTTTGGTCAGCACTACAAGGGTTCTATGTCCTTATTCTCTTTTCTTAAATAATTGGAGCAATAAACCAAGAAAATATGATACCTACTTTCCTAAAGTATAGCAAGCAGACTTGGATTTCTTTCCAAAGGAGAAGCTTACAATGATTTTGATGTACTAACTAGGCCTATTTACTTTTGTCAAACTAATAAAAATGGGAAAAAAGGAAGAAGCACTAGTTTCTTCATCTTTCATAGTTGGAATCGTTGGGAACTATCTAAATTTAATAAGTCAAGGATTCATATTATTTAAAGTCATAAAGGTAAACTGGGAAACTAAAAAATAATAGTTTAACAATCAAAACTTGAGAAGCACCAGGAGGAGAGAAAGCAAAAGACAGCGTGCCCCCAATTTCTCATCTTTCAGAGGAAGGAATCAATAGATACTATGTAAAGGTGATAAATCACAAAACAGAAGTATAACTTTTAAAGTAATAAAGGCAATTTCCAGAAAGACCAGAAATAAGCTGTCAGTAGTAGTTACCTCTGGAGGGTGGAAGAGGGGGATGGGGGACACTTTTTACTTTATACCTCTGCAAAATTTGCACTTTCCTACCATGTGTGTATATTCATTTTTTAATCTAGTTTTTTAAACTGTCAATAATCCGAAATCTTAAAAAAAAAACACATACTACATTTCATTCTCCATACCTAACAACTCATGAATTGTCAACTTTATAAAATGGAACACTTTCTAGCGCAAACGATCTCACCTATCAAATTAAAGGTAAGGTAAAGGAAGGAAAGCTTTTTTTCCCAAAGTGCAAAGTTCATCGCTGACCACCCTCAAGTCAAAACAGCTCTTGTGACAACTAAAATCTTTTTAAAAACATACACACACTACTTGGTATTGTTTTAAAATCAAGACCCCCCTGATCAATTTATGCAAACACTGATACTGTCCCAAATAACTCCTACAGACTACTCCTGAACACAATCAAGTGAATAAACAGGGCCAGAGGCTTCGTCACAGCAAACTAACTTAAGTCCTCACATCAAATCAGTAAGACACTTAGGGGCATATATTTTCTTTGAAATCAAAACAAGAGAGGCATTTTGAAAGTGTGCTATCTTCACTGATCCTCTCAGGAATGTAAAAGTAATTCATTGTAGTTTCAACCTCCTAGTGCTCGAGTGTTTTAAAACAATTTACTTCTGCTTGGACAAGCAGTAAGATAGGCCAAAGCGCTGGATTTTGTTAACCCTTAGTTTCAAACCTTTATGCTCACACTAACATTTCACCCTTCTAATGCGCTTAAATATAATTATCTCAAAGAATCCAAACCATAACTGAATTCAAGGGAAGGGGGACACTTCAGGTCATTGATTACAGAATATGATTTAATACAACGGTTTTAAGACTGGATTATTTCTGGTAACCACAGGAGTTATACCTTAAGTAACGATATGAGTACGGATCACAGATTTTAAAACTGTGCCTAGGCTGTCCTCTTCTCACCTTGCAATATATCTCATCCTATCGGCCAGTCCTTGAAGCAACACTGACAAAGAAGCGTTCATAAAATTTTAATTTACACATATACAATCTAATCTTGGTGAGACATAAGTACCTAATGCACATCCCTGAAAACGCATCAACTTTACCCTTTTAACTCCTGTGTCTAATATACTGGCAGCCTGACCACAGGCCAGATACACTTGGTGAAATCTAGGCGATGAAGATAAACCTGACTCGGAAAACCAGAGGTTTTAGGCCTGTTGGTAATCAAAAGGACCAGGAAACTGAAGCAGTCCTGTCTCTTAAACCCATCGCAAACTTAGTTAACTGAGGCATCACTCGGAATCAACTCGCAACCCCAAATACATCCAGATTTAAGAACATAAAGCCCTTGTAAATCGATTAGTAGGCGAGTCGCTCGAACCCACCAGGTGGACCTACTCTATTCCAAGGCTCCTCCTTCGGACTCTACTCTGGACCCTCAGCCGCCCGACTGCCGGGCGCCGTGCACCACACCTTGGAGGTGCCCCAATCCAGCGCCCCACGCTCCTCCCTCGATCACCCGGTCACCCATCCCAAGTCCCCAGAGTCGCCCGCCCAGACCAACCCGCCCACAACATCTCCAGTCCCTCACCCTCCCCTCCTCCAGGCCAAGTCGAGCTGGCCTTGCGGCCCCCCACCCCCACCTCCGAGACACTCACCCGCGGTAGTAGGCTTTCACCCGGACCTGATGAGAATGGTCCCCGCTGCCGCCGCCTGCGATCGGGTGAGACATGGTACTGCTGTCCCTCTGGGTCGGCATCTCCTGACTCCCCCGCCTCAACGCCGGAGGCCGAGGGTGCGGGGGGCGCGCCAGGCGCCGTGGGGGACTCCGCCGCCAGAGCCTCTCCCGGAGCCGCGGCCGCCCGCTCGCCTACCTGTCCTCCCGGCCCGCGGCGCGGACCCAAGGGTCGCCTCGCCGGGGCAGCCGGAACCGCGCGGCTCCTCCCACAGCCCGCGGCCGCCACTGCCCCCACCGCCGCCCCGGCCCAGCACGCCTCCCCGCCCCTCCCACCTCGCTCGCTCCAAAGGCCCACATTCCGGGGGAGGGCGGGCGCAACCATCGAGCCAACTCCCGGACCTCATGCCCGGCTGAACCATTCTCTCGGGGGGCAAGAAAAGGAGGAGAGAATGGGAGACGCTGACTATCTTATCGAACCCGCCGGGAGGGGGCCTTTCGTGGAACCTGTGACTGAGAGAACGCGAAGGACGGGTAACTGTCGTTCTGTAAAAAGCCCCTTCCCTACAGGGAAAATGGTAGGTGACAAAATGTTGCGGGGTCTCACCCCAGTTTCCTAACTTGGTCGCGTCCGCGGTCAGCCCACTTGGGCCTTCGGGTAGACTTGCCCGGCGGGTTTCTGGGATTTGAAGTTTCCGTGGGATTCTGGGATTTGAGGTTCTTTACGTGTAGAGCGCCCCGCCTTCTGGCTGAGTGAGTCTGTCTCCACAGTGCGCCCCAGGACCCGTCGGCGTGGAAATCCTGAGTCCAGCCCTGGCGTCTGAGGTCCCTGGAAATGATTGGGCTTCGTCATGATCTAGACTTTGTTCTTTTATGAATTCTCCCTTCCAATTACATAAATCGTCTCAAGTATATAGTGCCTTTTTTGGGGAACAAGAATTTGATTACCTGTGCAGCATAGCCTCTTCTGTGGAAAGAATTTAATAACATACGTAACAAATGTAATAATGAATGTCATAAAGGAGGAAACTCAACTAGAAGATATGATGGAAGAATGACTTTTATTCCTCCACGGCCCCCATATCTAGGCCCCCGTATATTGCCATTGCGTGGAACAGGTGCATAATGAGTATTTATCCAGTCCATCCATCCATTCGTCCATCCGTCCATCCTTCCATCAGCATTTTTTCTAACACTGGCTAACCAGGCATTATAAAGAATCTGTCCTTGTAGCCTAGTCTCTGACGTTCCACTGGTCTTGGCTCTGTCACATACTGCAATTACAGGTAGCATGAATTCAGCCCCTGCATCAGTCTTGGTACCAACACATACTAAAAGGGTTGGAATAATCAAAGAAATAATTTTCTTTAGGCTTGGGAGTTGACTCATCAGAGTTATATGTGACACTTAGCCTGGGAGGATATCATACAACTGCTACAAACTTGGATTCTACACTCTTCATAAAAACTCTGGTTGGAGACTTGATATCAAGGTTTTTGGCAACTGGGGACATGCATCAGCTTGTTAAATACGAATTAACTATGGAATATAAACTGTTTTTAAAGCGAGATTGTGAAATAACTGGATTAGTGGAAAATTTAATATGCTTGTGACAAATCTGAAAAATTATATGATGCTCTAGAAAAGGAAATTATGTTATATGGGAAGTGAGAGTTTAGAAAGGAAAGTCAGAAAAAACTTCTTATTTTGGATCCTTACTCCTTAGTAGTTTGAAAAATCCTTCATCATTGCCGTCATGGCATACTTTGAAGGTAGTCCTTGTTTTCAGAGGAAGCTTATTGCTTACTTTGTCATCAATAACAATCTGTAAATATTGATAATTTGCATCAATCCCATCATACAAATAAGTTTTCCTTTTCTGAATGAAGAAAGCTTTTGGTCGTGGTTATCAGGGAAAGCATAACCTTAATTTTTTAACAGCATTATGGAGATATAATTCACATAATATACAATTCATTCATTTAAAATGTACTATTCAGGGCTGGCCTGGTGGTGCAGCGGTTAAGTGCGCATGTTCTGCTTTGGCGGTCTAGGGTTTGCCAGTTCAGATCTGGGTTATGGCCATGGCACCAGTTGGCAAACCATGCTGTGGTAGGCGTCCCACATATAAAGTAGAGGAAGATGGAATGGATGTTAGCTCTTCCTCAGCAAAAAAGAGGAGGATTGGTGGCAGATGTTAGCTCAGGGCTAATCTTCCTCAAATAAATAAATAAAAATAAAAGTGTACCATTCAATAGTTTTTAGAATATTCACAAAGTGATGCGATTATCACCACTATCTAATTTCAGAAAATTTTCATCCCCCCAAAAAGAAACTACACATGCATTAGCAGCAACTCTCCATTCTCCTTAGCCTCTGGCAACCATTAGCATATTTACTGTTGCTGTGCATTTTCCTATTCTGGACATTTCCTATGAAACTCAAGATCCGAATCTGCTAACCTGGGTCCCCAAAGTGGAGCACTCAGAACTTTAACCACTTAGCCATAGGACCACTGGGCCCCTCTACTCTTAATTTTTTGAAGAACCGCCATAATGTTTTTCGTATTGGCTGCACCAATTTACATTCCCATTCTAATTTCATTTTTGATTATTCATTGCTAGTGTATAGAAATATGATGGATTTTCCATATATCTTGTATCCTACAGGCTTGCTGAACTCTTTCTTAGTTCTAATAGTGTTTTGGTGGATTCCTTACAATTTCCTATATACATGACTATGCAATTTTAGAAGACAAATTGTGGGGCAGTTCCTGTGGCCGAGTGGTTAGGTTTGCGTGCTCTGCTTCAGTGGCCCAAGGTTTTGCTGGTTCAGATGCTGGGCGCAGAATTAGCACCACTCATCAGGCCATGCTGAGGTGACATCCCACAGAGAAGAACTAGAAGCACCTACAACTAGAATATAGAACTATGTACTGGAGGGCTTTGTGAAGAAGAAGAAGAAAAAAAAGATTGGCAGCAGATGTTAGCTCAGGACCTATCTTTAAAATAAAAAAAGAAGACAAGTTGATTTACATCTTCCTTTCCAATCTGGATGCCTTTTACTATTTTTTCTTGCCTGATTGCATTAACTAGGACCTCTAATACTATCTTGAATAAAGAGGAGAATGTAAACATCCTTGTCTTATTCTCAGTCTTTGTTTTTTAAAGATTTTATTTTTTTTCCTTTTTCTTCCCAATACTCCCTGGTACGTAGTTATATATTCTTAGTTATGGGTCCTTCTAGTTGCGGCATGTGGGACGCCGCTTCAGTGTGGCTAGATGAGCAGTGCCATGTCCGCGCCCAGGATTTGAAGCAACGAAACACTGGGCTGCCTGCAGCGGAGCACGTGAACTTAACCACTCAGCCCCAGAGCTGGCCCCCTTTTTTTTTAAGATTTTATTTTTCCTTTTTCTCCCCAAAGCCCCCCAGTACACAATTGTGTATTGTTTAGCTGTGGGTCCTTCTAGCTGTGGCATATGGGAGGCCACCTCAGCATGGCTGGATGAGCAGTGCCATGTCCGCACCCAGGACCCGAACCGGCAAACCCTGGGCCACCAAATCTGAACACATGAACCTAACCACTCAGCCATGGGGCCAGCCCCTTATTCTCAGTCTTACATGGATAGCTTGCAGTCTTGCACCATTAAATGTAATGGTTGCTCTAGATTTTTTTGTAGATGCCCTTTGTCAGGTTGAGGAAGTTCCATTCTATTCCTAATTTGTTGGCTATTTTTATTATGAAAGGGTGTTGGGTTTTGTTTAGTGCTTTTTCTATGTCTATTGAGATAATCATGTGGTTCTGTCCCTTATTCTGTTCGTATGGTATGTTACATTAGTTGATTTTTTCTTTTTTTTTTTTTTGGCTGAGGAAGATTTGCCCTTAGTTAACATCTGCTGCCAATCTTCCTCTCTTTGTATGTGAGCCACCACCACAGCATGGCCACTGACAGAAAAGTGGTGTAGGTCTGCACCCAGGAACAGAACCCAGGCCACTGACGCAGAGCACACCAAGCTCAACTATTAGGCCACCAGGGCTGGCCCATTAATTGATTTTTGGATGTAAGCCAACCTTGCATTTCTGGGACAAATCCTGCTTGGTTATGACATATAATCCCTTTTATATGTTGCTGGATTCAATTTGCTAATATTTTGTTGAGGAATTTTGAATCTATACTCATAAGCGTGGTTTCCTTTAGTTCTTTGAACATATTTATAATAGCTGCTTTGAAGTCTTAGTCTGCTAAGTCCAACATCTGCGTCTTCTCAAAGGCAGTTTCTGTGTGCATAAGTCCCACTTGCCTGTTTCTTTTTATGTCTTATAATTTTTTTGTTGCAAACTGTACAGGTCCATTGTAACAACACTGGAGATTGATCTAGACTGGCTCCAGGGCTTGTTGTCATTGTTGTTGTTGTTTGCTTGTTTATTTGTTTAGTGACTCGGCTAGACTAGTTCAGTAAAGTCTATTTCCCTACAGTGTGCAGCCTCTGATGTCTCTCCTCAGAGGGTGCATCTCTGGCATGCACACTGTCACACTGAATCCTTCTCCTTCCCCTGGGGGATGACAGTTGTTTCAGTCAAGTTCTCTTTGACTGCCTCTTTCCTCCATCTCCCTCTCAAGCTTTTGGCTGGTTTGGCCTTTACTGATGTCACTCCTAGCTGTTAGCCTCCACTCAATGGCAACTGATTGCCCCAGTGTTTTTGACAATGCCCTGGGGCATAAATTGCTCCACAGTCTGATCCAATGGTAGTTTTTTATTTATAATTTTCACTAGTGATGGTTGTTTCATTGGGGAGAGTATACAGGGAGCTCATGTCTCTATTCTGGACATGCTCTGACATTAATTTTTAAAGTCAATGTGATGCAGTTGAAATAGATATAAGGCACAAAGAGTTATGCATATGGGATGATCAGGGCACAGCAATTGTGTTACTTTTAGTAACCAGATATTAGAAACTACTGAGCCACTTCTTTAGTTTAAAGAAAATAGGACTCTGTAAAAGGTTTTAAGAGGAACCTGGAGTCACATTAATCGTATCTTCTGGGACATTTGGCTTCCTTTCTACAGATTGAGCTGCTCTA